TTGCACTTGTTATGCCCAGAAAAAGGACAGTGTGTGAGAATGAGAGTTTCGTCTCTTCTCAATTGGGGTGCCCTCAGCCCTTGACCCTCATTCCACCCACGTTTTTCACTTCTCTTCCTTAAACTCAAGATAGAAAGCATGGGAGAATGAGAGAATAGGGAGCCGCCTAGTCAGCGAGCCCTCATCGCAAACACCTGTTCCCCCCACTTCTCAGATTCCTTCCTTGCTTCCAGAGGAACAAGAGATGACGGGAAAAATGGGTGCTTGCTGCTAGAGGATTTATGGGCCCTTCTAGCAACAACAACCGAACTAATATTTTGTATTTTTTAAGGATGTGTCGAGCACCTCTTTGCTTGTGATCCAATACACTCGTTTATGTAGATGAATTCCAAAAGGGTGTCGGTCTTGACTGAGGTCGCGTTCAACACCCGACTCAAATAAAGACCTCTTTTTTAGCACGCGACTCAAAGAAAATGAGAACTAAACCATAGCCCAGCTAGAGCCCATTACTTCCACTGACATGACATTCACGTCTTCAATTCCTCAAAAGTCGACCATATTTTCATTACTCTGGCTAAATAGCTTTCCTTTGAAGTGTGGAACAAAGTGAGTGGAGATCCAACCCCCAATTTATAGAGGGGGGTGATCAACTATCCCAATTGTGGTCTCCTGACAAAAAGTCTACCAAGGACCGACCGGGGAAACACAACAAGGTGACGTGATAAGACATGCTAGCGACTGACTTCCCCAAAAAAGAAAAGAGAAAAGGAACAACTGTCACAATCACGACAGCTTATGATACTGACACAAGAGGACACGTGGAAAGACAACAATGTTAGGCTCGTCGGATTGCTCGAGTACTGTTCCCTAATTCTCTGGGAACTTGGCTAGATATCAAATAACAAGTCAACCTTCACAGCTCAGGGAATGTGTTGTTCGAACAAACAATGTGAAATGATCATTTTTGTAACCGATATGTTCGTGTTGGCTAAGCGAGAGACATTAACAACATGTTGATCAAAGTCCAAACAAAAAAGAAGAGAGAAAAAGAGTGAAAGGAGCCAACCCAACTACTCAGTTTCAAATCAGATACACTATAATACAATCATAAATTTTATTTATCTTAGTTGAAAGTTACATGACATCCAGATAATCGTAAACTCAAAAGGTATATATGTTACAAACTTTAAATGAGGAACACACCCTCAAAAGAATCGGGGGTTCTATGTTGAAATCCACCTTCGATTCCTCTTCCTTGCTCTCATCCAGAGCATCAATCCTCCCTACTCCCGCTACCTCACATAATCTTTTCAAGAAACAGTTAAAGCTGGGAGGAGGTGTTGAGGAAACGAAAGACTGATGTCCGATGACTCTCACAATCAAACGTTTGCAGAAAGGTTGACGGGCAACAACTGTCAAGCAGATAATGTGCCCCTTAAAGTAGCTGACAATATGCTACAATCGGGCACCATAATCGGTTTGAAGAGAAGGTTTCCAGCCAGTGCACCGTTAAGTTCAAAGCATAGGAGCGACAAAGAGTGGAGAAATTAGCACTTGTTGCCATAAGACTTATAAGCCTCGCCCCTCCCACTTTATTGAGGAAGAGTTAAGGCTTTTCTAGCAGCAACCATCGAACGGATGAATTAAATTACTTAGGAATATGTTGGCAGCTCAACATTTCCCTTTGGGACACTACACCCGCTGGAGTGTTGGGTATCTCAATAGTCCACCTAGTCTGATGTCACGTTTGACATCTGACTTAAAGAAAAATCCCTCTTTTGACACATGACCCTAAGAAAAAGTAAATTAACACAAAACTTGTGTTGGATCCTTTGCTACTGACGATAGGCCACCTTCACGGTTGGCTACGTGCCGGACCATACAAAACCCCATTATTTCCAGCTAGCACTTTTTTAGTTACAAGTGTAATTCTTCTTATTAGGGGAAAGACCAGCAACCCATAACAATAGTCACCTAACAAACTCCTGCAAATAGGCCCACCATGACAGGACAACACGACATCTGCCAGCCTGACATTGACAATAAGGCTCTGCGGTTGGTTTCCCATAAAAGAAAGTAAGGAAATTCATGTCACCATAAAAGCAAGCTTTAAATGTTGCCCACCAAGGTCATGCGATGAGACGATGGTGCCAAGCCCGCCAAATAGTTGATCATCAAATCTCGACACAGAAACTTTGACCCAACCGAAAAATCCTATAAAAATCGCCCAGTTTTCGACTCTGGAATTCGTAGGATGTATATATATACAAGAATTT